TGGTTGCAAATTACGAAGAGACATGCTGAAAGTACCAGTCTAGTATTCCAGGAACAGTGCAGCAAATTTTGGATATATTTAAAAGAGTTTTTGCTGAACCAAACGGATTGCCCCTCCTAGGGTTTTTGATCATAAAATCACACTGCAGGATGGCCGTAAACCTATATGTGTTAGACCCAACAGGTATCCCTATTACGAAAAAGAGAAAATAGAGAAGTTAGTGGCTGAGTTGATAAAAAAATGGCAGCATACGGAGCAGCAAGCACTTAAATACTTGCTGGAACAAAGGGTGGGGACTCACTCACAACAGAAATGGGTCTCTAAACCGCTTGGTTATGACTTCACAGTCGAGTACAAGAAGGGAAAAAATAGTGTTGTGGCTGATGTACTCTCCAGAGTACAATACCCTGAGAAAACAAACCCAAATAGTACTGAAACACTGCCCCTGAACCCAGAGCAACCCGATACAACCATATCGATTCAACTACCCAAAACTCCATTCAAGACCCATCATCCACAACAATATCCAACCAAATATACAACCAGCACTAAATCAGAATCCAAGCAGTTAGTATAATCCAGACATAGTGGATTCAAGAGTTGAAGAAAGCTTACTGACATGACCCATGTTGCAGTAGCTTATTAGCCACTACCATCATGGAGACTTGGACCAAACTCATTATTAATTTCGGAATGAGCTACTCTTTTACAAGGACAGACTCCATCTCGGATCATTGGTGTCTTTTCAACAGCAGATCCTGTATCAGTTCTATAATAGCCCATTAGGAGGGTCACGCAAGAGTACATAAAACACAAGCAAGAATAAAAAAGGAGTTTTACTGGCCTAGTTCGAGAAATGATGTTAGAACATTCATCAAAGAATGTGATGTTTGTCAGAGGAGCAAAGTTGAAGCTCTCTTCCCATCGGGGTTGCTTCAACCCTTGCCAATCCCTGCCAAGAACAGGGAAGACATCAGTATGGACTTTATCGAAGGACTATCCCCTTCAGGATGCAAAATAGTGATATTTGTGGGGGTGGATAGGTTAATTAAGTACTTTCATTTCATGACTATTACTCATCCTTATACAGCAGTGACAGTGGCTAAGACATTTATGGATAATGTGTTCAAGTTATATGGACTGCTCAAAACAATTGTTAGTGATCGGGACCCAGTGTTTACTAGCAGTTTTTGGAAGGAGTTGTCCAGGCTATGTGGAACTGAATTGTTACTTAACACAACATACTACCCAAACTGATGGCCAAACAGAAGCCATGAATAAAGTACTAGAGTATTACCACAGATGCTTTTTTAGTGATAGACCGAAAGATTGGGTCAGGTGGTTACTTTTAGCTGAATATTCATAAAATACTTCAGGGCAAAAATCAACAAAGGTGACACCTTTTGAAGCTGTATATGGTCAATCTTCCCCCAAGATGTTACCATATGAGGTAGGGTCTATGTCAGTGCAAGCTGTTGATGACGAGCTAAGGAGCCTTGAGGTTTTTGCTAAGTTAATCAAAGAAAACTTGCAAGAAGCACAAGTCAAGATAAAATATTTTGCAGATAGAAAGAGGCGAACCCTAGATCTTGAAGTGGGAGAGATGGTTTACCTTCGTTTGAGGCCCTACCAAAAGTTGACAGTATCAATGCGAAGGAGCCTCAAGATCGTACCGCGATACAACGATCCCTTCAAGAACATTTGTAAGGTTGAACATGTAGCTTACGAGCTTGATTTAGCTCCAGAATGTCAAATCTATCTGATGTTTCGCATCTCTTGCCTTAAGAGGAAGCTCAGAAAAGGAGTTCAACTCAACCAGTTTTGCTAAGCTCACGTCCAAGGGAACTCTTGCATCGAAACTTGTGAAAATTCTCGAACAAAGGCTTAAAAGGAAAGAAAAACAGACTAGGGGTCGAGGTTTTGGTGCAGTGGGCTGGATCAGAGGAGGTTGACGCTACTTGAGAGGATCTGGAAACCCTAACCTTGAGGACAAAGTTACCTAACAATGGAGGTCTTTGTTATGAGTTAGGTTGGAGTCCTTAGCATTTGTTGAAATGTGTCTTTTTTCTTTTAAATTTGCAACCTGTCTTTTGTTATTTTGACACTAGGTTGGAGTCCCTTAGTATTCGTTGAAGTGTGTCTTTTTTCTTTAAATTTGCAACGTGTCTTTTGTTATTTTGATTGGGTCATCTGTAGTGGGCCGATTGGCCTTGTTATGGGTAGTTATTTTGACTTCTTGAGTTAGTTAGCAATAATTCAGTTTCCAAATCATGGGGCATTGAATTTTTTTTGCCCAATTACAGAGTAATAGTGGACTTCTGGTAACCTCAAATTACCACCAATATTCTTCTAATTTTGTTACACAGTATTATTATTGTATAACACTTTTTGGCACCACATGATGCTAGAAATCGTAATGAAATCCGTCGGAATGCGGGAAGAAGTTATTATCGAAAATCGCAAAAATTGTAACAGACTATAGAGGTAACAGTTCCAACCGCTTGATATCCATGGTAGCATGGCTGTCTCTACTACCTTGAATCCTTTCCATTTTAATGCCCTTATGGCGTGATCAAGAAATGATCTATTCACCTGATACATGATATTTGTCTACACTGTCCTTCCATCGTCTACAATGGTAGTAGCAAGAAAGTAGTATTCCATATCAAATAGGAAGTTCTTGATTTCCTATGCATTGTACCCTTTCATAGGTGCACAGTTCTGAATTATGAGCCTAGGTGCATACTCTTGTGTTTGTGGCTTGCTCTATTACCAATTTCATGTTGGGAGTATTCACAACTGAATGTTCGATGTTTCCATTTCTTCCTATAGATTGGGAGTAATTACAACTTCAGTCATTGTTGCACAAGCCATTGACCCTTTTATATAGTTGGATGTGTAATTCTCAAATTTCCGTTTTGAGCACCTCAACCTTTTTCACAAGGCTCTTGATGGCATAGCATAACCTAATAGTTTGCTCATCAAGTACATCGATACTCTGTTTAGTACTCTTCTTTTGATCACCCGCCTTTGTGATGTGTGATGCATTCAGATTCATAACTTTCTTATCAAAGGTCGTAAGTCGCAACTTTGATACCAATCTTCACGGGTGCCTTTTTTCTAGTGTAGAATGGACATCGTATGACAGTAGTCTTCTTCATTATACTACTTTCCTTCTATTGTTGGTCGTTTAGGGACGAAGTACTGGAGACAATTTAAAGAAAGCTTTACAACAAAAAAATTAAATGCATTGGAAATCGTTTGTTAATTGATTATTGAACGCAGTAAATTGTATTATTGGTGTAGGAGGTGAACACCAGTGAACTTGACAAAACTTTCAATTACTTTATAACCCTATAATAACTGTAAGGAAGAAAAACCTAAATGAAAGGAATAGACATTTAAAAGATGATAAATAATAATAAACGTTTACAAAAGCAACATTATTTAACAAATGAAATAAATTATTACAATAAAAAGAAAATTATTAACGTAAACTAATTTATATAAAGTGCGATTGAAGTTTGACAAACCTGCAGCTGTAAGTGAATCAATGGGCCAAGTGTAACTACGATCTTGACACATGGACTTGCCAAAGGAGGTTGACATTGACTAGGTGGACTATAAAGAAAAATGTAGAATTATTGTTTTTCTTTGAAGAGGTTTGGTTGATTATATAGATGTTTGACTTTTCAAAATTTCTGAATTTAATTTCACATATTAATAATAAAAAATGAAAATAGGAACTTTATGATGTTATTTGTGAGTTGATTTTATATTTATAATATTTCTACTTAATCAATTGTATTTTTATTTCACAATTGACAAAGCCTTCATTTTATATTGCTTTTTTGCTAATATTTAGCTTCATACTCTAACAACTTAAATTTGCTAGTTGCTCAAATTGGAGACACAATTTCTAATTACTACACAGTTAGTAAGTACTTTGTTTTCCACCATATCTTTAATTTTTCATTTATTTGCTAATTGTTGTTGATTATAATTTATATTTAAATAAAATTATTATTGTTTTGTCAACTTATGTTATATCAATTTTACAATATCGATCTTTTCAAATTTTAGAAATCCCTAAAAATCTTCATGGATCCAACCGGACCATCTCGAGAGTTTTAAACTTCCCAGGGCACATTCCGAGTTTGCCCTTGAAAACTTGGAAGCAAGAGTGCAACAATGTCTTGATTAAGCCCCTCTTTGATTCCCATTTTTGGGATAAAATGAATTATGGAATAGTAGCTTTTTGAAGAATGTGTGGTTAAAAAATAAGAATTTTTTTTTGAAATTCGTATATTATTATTTTATAGAAGAATGTGTGGTTGAAAATTAGTTTTGAAAAATGCATTCTTAAAAAAAGGGGATCAAACAAGAGCTAAATAATTGCAACGTGATCATGTGAAGAGTCACAATGGGCATACAAGTTGAAGGTCAAATGCTTAACTTTTGTTTGATTTAGTTGAAAATTAGACTTTTAATAAATTTCGATAAAAAAAATAATAAAATACATGGTTGAAAAGTTGTGATTAATATATAATCGGTGATTAAAAATATTTTTTGATTTATAATTGAGTTTTTATCAACTTTTTAACCTACACTGAACCTAACATAGTGAATATAATGTCCCAGTTCCACATGGATTAAAATCGAATTTTGATAAAAATTGATAAAATATGTGGGTGAAAAATTGTAAATCCCACTTAGGAGGTATTTGAGAGTGATTTTTCACTCTCAAAAATTGATTTTTTTGACTTTTATTTCACTATTCCAACTGTAATTTTTGATTTTTTCTCTTACAGGCGGTCTCCAGTTTTATTATAACGGTCAAAAAATCAATTTTCAAAATTCCTACCGAACATGACCTTAATATGTTGTTAAAATTAATTACTGACTTTAATCAAATATGGCTAAATTTCGATATGTTTGGTGCACTAGGTTCATTTGTTAACTATTTAAACCCCGTTTTTCGAAATAAACGCCTTGATGGTAAATTTGCCATTGCCCATGACAGCCCTGTGCAGTATCGTAACTAATGGGAGCAAAGAGCTTTACTCTTCAATCTCAAAAGCATTAACTTCGACGACAAACCTGAAATACCTCCAAAAAATCCATTCCTTTATAGTCGCCGTTGGTTTACAAAGATCTGTGTTTTTCTCTGGCAAATTAATAGCTAAATACTCCCAGTTCAAAGATCCACACTCGTCTGTATGGATATTTCGTGTAAATTCACCCACGGACAATGTATATATGTGGAATACACTTATTAGAGCAATGACGCACAATGGTTTATTTATAGAAGCATTAGAGTTTTACAAACGGATGAGACAATCCAAGGTTGAACCCGATAAACACACTTTTCCTTCTGTTATTAACGCGTGCGGGAGTCTGATGGATTTGGAGATGGGGAATCTGGTTCACAAGCATGTTTTGAAAGTGGGTTTCAAATCCGATTTGTATATCAATAATGCCCTGATTGATATGTATTCAAGGTGTAACGTGTTGCCCAAAGCACAAGAATTGTTCAATGAAATGCCTCAGAGAGATCTGGTTACTTGGAATAGTCTGATCTCAGGTTATAGCTCGAATGGGTATTGGTTGGAGGCATTGGAAACATATTTTCAATTAAGAATGTTGGGTTTAGTGCCTGACTTGTTTACATTTTCTAGCGTTTTACAAGCGTGTGGTGGATTAGGGGAGGTTGACGAGGGCCAGATGCTTCATGGTTTTGCGGAAAAGATAGGGATTAAGAAGGGCGTGATTGTCTGCAACGGGTTGCTTTCAATGTATTTTAAACTTGATAGGCTAACGGAGTCTTGGAGGATTTTTTATGAGATGGTTGTTAAAGATACTGTCACCTGGAATACCATGATTTGCGGGTATTCCGAGTCTGGTTTGTACGAAGAGTCTATCAGGTTGTTTTTGGAAATGGTGAGTCAATTTGAACCTGATATGTTGACAATAACATCTGTTCTTCGCGCATGCTCTTACATTGGGGACCTAAAGTTGGGAAGATATGTCCATGACTATATGGTTAAGAATGGATATGAATGTGATACCATGGCTAGTAATATTATTATTAACATGTATGCCAAATGTGGTGATTTATTGGGTTCAAGGCGAGTTTTTGAGAGCATGACAACTAAAGATTCGGTATCATGGAACTCACTAATGAACGGTTATATTGAGAATGGTCTTTATAATGAAGCAACGGAGCTTTTTAGGAGGATGAGGATGAATTTGCAACCTGATTCTGTCACTTTTGTGACACTTCTATCTAATTGCACACAATTGATAAACTTAGAATGGGCAAAGGAACTGCATTGTGATATAATAAAGCAAGGGTATGATTTTGCTCAAGTTGTGGGTAATGCTCTTGTTGATGCATATGCCAAATGTGGAGCAATGGAGGATTCACTAAAACAATTTGAAAACATGGAAATTCGGGACATAGTAACTTGGAATACTATTATTGCTGCATCTGGTCATTCTAAGGATAGTAATCTAGGTTTCAGAATGGTCAGTAGGATGAGAATGGAGGGACTGATGCCAGATATACCTACGTTATTAAGTACCTTGCCTTTGTGTTCCTTGCTTATTGCTAAAAGACAAGGGAAGGAGATGCATGGCTGCATTTTCAAGTTGGGTTTTGAATCAAATATTCCAATTGGCAATGCTTTGATTGAAATGTATTCTAACACTGGTTGTTTAAAGAATTCAGTATTGGTATTTGACAAAATGAAAAAAAGAGATGTAGTTACATGGACAGCATTGATTTCTGGATATGGAATGTACGGTGAAGGAAGGAAAGCTCTTAAAATTTTTGAGGAGATGAAGGCGGCTGGTGTTGTTCCTGATCACATCGTGTTTGTTGCTATCATATATGCATGTAGCCATTCTGGTTTGGTGGAAGAAGGGCGGGCTTGTTTTAATCAAATGAAGAAAGACTACAATATTGAGCCCAGGCTTGAACATTATGCTTGTGTAGTTGACCTTCTGTCACGGTCTGGCCTCTTAGCCGAAGCAGAAGAGTTTATTTTTTCCATGCCATTACAACCAGATGCAAGTATATGGGGGTCTTTACTTAGTGCTTGCAGAACAATAGGAGACATCGAGATTGCAGAAAGAGTGTCAGAGCGCATCTTTCAATTGAACTCAGACGATCCGGGATATTACGTTTTAGCTTCAAATGTGTATGCTTCCTTGGGAAAGTGGGACCAAGTGAGGATGATACGAACATCCTTAAAAGCTAGAGGACTCAAAAAGGATCCTGGATGTAGCTGGGTGGAGGTTCAAAATGGGGTTTACTATTTTGGGTCTGGCAATCAGTTCTTTGAACAATACAAGGAAGTCAATAAGTTGCTAGAGGTTTTTTCGGGACTAATGGCCAAGGAAGGCTATGTTGCTGATATTAAATTTGTTTTGCATGACATAGAGAAAGATGAGAAAATGGACATGCTTTGTGGCCATAGTGAAAGGCTTGCCATAGCATTTGCATTGTTGAACACAGAGCCTGGTACTCCTTTGCAGATAATGAAAAATCTCCGTGTATGCGGGGATTGCCACACTGTGACGAAGCACATATCAAAGATTGTCAAACGGGAAATATTAGTCAGAGATGCCAATCGCTTTCATTTATTTAAGGATGGAACATGTAATTGTGGAGATCACTGGTGAAAAATAATTGGAGGCATATAGTTTTTGATGGAGAAAGGTCTTTTATTCTGGAAGCATCTTCATAATAGATGCTTGGCTTTTGGATCTCAGAATCATGCTTCTTTCAGTAACTTCAGATGAAAACGGTTATAGAACTTATGGTTCAGACAATGTCATCTCTCTTGCCAGTTTTTATTAGGTAAAACTTGAATTTAGGGTTCTTTCAATGTTTATATTATCAACAAAGCGATTAGGAAAATTCTGGATGGTAAGCAGGGGCGGACCCATTAAGGGACCAAATATCTTGAGAAAAATGCCAAGACAAATACTGGGCATCTGGTCTAGTGGTTATTATTGCTTTAGATGTAGGAATTAGGAAGCCCTGAGTTCGATTCTCAAAACGTTCTTTTTGTCATTCTTCTTGTGTTTTCATTTTGGCTCTTTCATTCCTTTGCTTTCACAGTTTATTTTAGCTCTTTTTTTTGTTTCAACCCCACTGAAAAATAATCTTGGGTCCGCCCCTGATGGTATGGCCGAATTATTTCTTTCTCCATTTGATTTGCTTCAAGTTATGGCAAATATAGTTCTGGAAGATGGATGCTTAGTTTTAATGGTTTGATCTCTGTTACCATGCAGACCATTTCTTACGTTGATGTTCAGATGTCAAGAAAAGTAGACATATCTCCTCCTTAGTTTGAGGAGGTAATTGGTCACTTCGAGACTACCATTGACAAAAAGGTGACTCATCTCGCCTTTCTGCAGTTTATACTCTTTCTACTTAGTAAGATAAATTATAAATGATAGTCTATATGAATTATTTAACTAGAATCTGAAAAATTGCATCAATGTTGCATCGATCGAGAAACTACTCATAGCATCTTTTGTTAACCAGTCTACTGATTCACGCTGTCATGGAAGGATCTGTTATTACTTTAGAAACCAGCTCGCTGAATGTTCACTTATTTATTTTTATCTTCTAATGCATGAAACCTACCATCTTTGGCAATTTATATTGCTTTCTTCATAGTTATGGTGCCACCTAATAAGTCACTGTTTTTTAGAAGTTCAAGAAACCAAGATGATTGTTCAACAAGATTATTCTGTAAACTAGATGTTATAATAATCAGATTTGATGACTACTATAATCTATTACTTGTTGCATGTGATAATGCTTAGGTAATCTCAATGACTCGTACAATTAATGCGATTAAGATTTTATTAGTTGGATTGTATTTCATGACCGCTGACATTTAAGGTAGACAAGTAAGAATGCTCAAACAATTTCACTTTCTAATGCCTTCAAGATTTCATGACACTAACAAGAGTTCACTGACTACTCCGGACTTGGATTACCTGTTGTGACGATGGAATGAAACTTAATTATTTAAGTGTCCTTGTGCTGAATGAAATTTTACGTGGTGCTGTACAGTGCATTCCAATTGCACTAGTGCTTCGACTAAAGTCCACACTTCTGCTGCCAAGTTAAGCTATTCACATATTTGTATTATAGCAACAATATGATTTGCCCCCCAGGGCACTTCTCCACTGGTAAAGGACGGACGCTGTCAAATCTGGCAGAGCAGAGGTCGTGAGTTCGAAACATGGGGCTCTTGGAAGGCAAGGATTTATTCTTGGAAGGCAAGTGGGAACTTGGAAGGCAAGGATTATTCTTGGAAGGCAAGGTGCAACTTGGATTGGCTTGCTTGGCATTTTGTCAGACCAGGTGGGGAGCGCTCGGACCCTGGCCAGTTGGAGGCACATCCTGCGATTAACCGGACTGTGTGAAGAGGGGCCGGATCACAGACCCAAGGATTAGTCTAGAATAGGACACCTTGTAAAAAAAAAAAAAA